ATTTGCCCCAGAAAATATGTGATGCTTAAACTATATATGTGGGGGTGGGTGGGTGGGTGGGTGTGTATGTGTGCGTGTACATGCACATGTTGCTGTGAATAACACAGGATGTTTAGTGAGACTGTCTTATAACATGGACAAAAGTGTGAGCAGGAACTGTGTTGTGTCTTTTAGCAACTACACTATACTTAGCCCTTGTAGAGGCCTCAGAATATGAAAGGTGGCTTATTTTATCTGGAAACTCTTAGCAGAACATGACAAAAAGAAGAAATATAGTAAATTAGTGGATATCAATATTGTTTAAAAAATTTGTCAATCAGGCCAGAGTAAATAGACAATTTAATGAGGCAGGGAGTTGGTGCTATATCATCATACTGCCTAACTATAGTGAACAAGCATTTATCTATCTCAAGGGAAGTGAAAAACTATTTTTCACAATTTAAAATAACCACATAATTTGACCTTTTAACAATTTGTAATGTAGATGTAAACTGAGAAAGAAAGGAAGTCCAGAATGATAGAGCAGGATAATAGTAGTTACAAGTGTCAAGTAGCTAGCTGGCAGTTACAAACTGAGATAACATTGAAGTACAACAGAATTTCAAGTATGAATTTCACCACTTTGTATTTTACACTCTTCAACACTAGCTTGCTTCCTCTGTCCAAGGTATACTATACCCCTAGGAAATATCAATATTGGGAACAAAAATGAAAGTGGTCCTTTCACTCAATTTTGCAAGGTTTGAGAAACCTGGAATCTACCAGTGACCTTTCTGAAGGCTGCCTTCACATCTTTGTTCCTCAGGCTATAAATAAGAGGGTTCAACATGGGGATGACCACAGTATAGAAAACAGATACTACCTTGTCTTCTTCCAGGGATTTTCCTGAGCTGCTCCGTATGTACATGAAGATGAGGGTACCAAAGAAAATAGATACAGCAGTGAGGTGGGAGATACATGTAGAGAAAGTCTTGACTCTGCCACCCAGAGACTTCATGCTCATGACAGCCTTGATTATGAGCAGGTAGGAAATGAGTATTACCAAAGCATTGGCCAAAATGACAAAATTCCCAAAAAGACAATGATAATCTCAGCATTTGTTGTGTCACTGCAGGCCAGCTTCAGCAGAGGTGGAAGGTCACAAAAGAAGAAATTGATGTGATTATTTTCACAGAAAAAAAGAGAAAAGGTACATGTGGTTCTTAAGATGGCCCCAAACAACCCACCACCATAGGCTCCAGCCACCAAACTCCAGCATCTTCTAGGGCTCATGGCCACAGTGTAGAGCAGTGGGTTACTAATAGCAACATAACGGTCATAGGCCATCACAGATAGCAGGAAGCATTCTGTAGCTGCACAGATGGTGAAGAAGAAGAACTGGGCAGCACATTGACCATAGGAGATGATCATTTTGTCTTTGGCCAGTGTGGCCAGGATCTGAGGGGTGATGACTGAGGTATAGCAGGCATCTAACACAGAAAGATGGCTCAGGAAGAAATACATTGGGGTATGGAGTTGGACATCTGCCTGTATGAGAATAATCATACCCAAGTTTCCCAAAATGGTGACCATATAGAAACTGAGAAACAACAGAAAAAGGGGAACCTGCCACTTGGGAAGGTCATTAAAGCCCATGAGAACAAACCTGGTTACTGTGGTGAGGTTATTCTTGGCCATTTAATCAATGTGAACTATTAATCTGTGAATGAGGATGAAGTAAAAGAGTAACAGTGACAAAATACACCAACTCCTTTTCACTCTGGTAGAAGTTGAGTTTGCAACTATGAGCTTAACATAATGCTTGTTTCAGAAATCTTGATCCATGCTTATTGTTCTGGAGCATTTCCTAAATTTGACAGAGCTCAGACTTATGCTGTTGTTTCTGATTCAGATTAATTTGGGCTTATATTTAGAAATTTCTGTGAAGAGAAGGCACAAGTGACCCTTAGGTTTGAAAGGAGCCAAAACAACATCTATTCCAACTTTATCTCGTGTATCACACATATGCCATATGCTTATATAAAGACAGAGTCTGTCTGTCCATACATTCCACACAGTGATCTCAGCTTAGCCTTTTCTGACACTCAAATCCATCTAATGCCTTCTTTTCATGTAGTTCTTATAGATGTTTGAAGATGATATATTTTCTGTTCATGTTGTCCCTGTAGCACATATTTATATATTTTTCTAATTATGTGTTTATTTAAGTAGGCTGAGAAAAACGCCGTATCGGGAACAAGCAAGACATGACAGAGGCACTTGCAAACAGGCCTGATAATGTGAATTAGTCCCTCATATCCCACAGATGCCTGGAGAGAATCGACTACAGGCACTACAGAGAGTTGTCCCTTAATCTCCACAGATAGACTGTGTTCCTGCACACACACACACACACACACACACACACACACACACACAGAGAGAGAGAGAGAGAGAGAGAGAGAGAGAGAGAGAGAGAGAAGAGAGTTAGAGAGATAAGTAACAGTAGATAAATAAATAAATATTTCTTACATGGTCAACATATTTTTCTCTGAACTTTAGTCTTTTTGCATCTAGCTCAGAGGCTACCAAATTCAACATATTGTATTTTCATTATTCTCTTCATTATATGGCTTTGATAAAGTAACTTGCCCCCTTTGCCTCAATTTCTTACCTATAATATGGGAAAACCATGCCTGTATTATAGGGTTATTGTGAATGTTAAGTGGTTTTTTTTGTTTATTTTTTTTGAGGCAGGCTTTCTTTATGTAGCCTTGGCTGTCCTAGAAGTAGCTGTGTAGACCAGGCTTGTCTCAAAATCACAGAGATCTACCTTTCTCTGCCTCCCAAGTGCTGTGATTAAAAGCACACACCACCACTATCCTGCTAGGATTAAGTAATTTAATTTGTGTAAGAGGTATAATGTCCAGTTCAGAAAGACCTAAATATAGTCATTTATTATTATTATTGTTAATATTATTATAAATTTTATATATGTCTTATTGGTTCCTTTTCTGAGATACAATACATTTAACTCATAGAAATTCTCTGTATTTACCTCTCTATCTAATTAACAGTGCAGTTACATGGTGTCTGCCCAAGCTCAGAGGAAAGAACACAAGCTATAGACCTACATAGGCAACTTTGGCACAATAATTTTTGTATTCTCACTAAGTGAACTGATCTCTGTATTTCTTCTCTTCAAAGAAATCTTGTCTTTCATCCCTGTCCTATACAAGAACTTGATCTTCTCACAAGTTCTGTGGTTTGCTTCTTATTGGTTATGGAAATGGTAAATGATGTTTTTCTATTACAATTATGTGTATCATGCAATAGAGAATTCTGTTGATTCTGGGAAAAGATTTCAACTATCAAGTGAAATCAATGTTCTTTTCCTATGCTTTATTAGTTTTTCAAGACAAACTTTGCATTTCCTACAATTTCTTATCTCCATATGTTCCAGATCTGAGTCACTTCCTCTCCAGGCATGATAATGACCATTTTCCATATGCATTCTGTCTCTTCATGAAAGTTCCTAACATCCAGATGGTCTTTAAAGATTCTTCACCGGAACACAGATACCTCTCTCCTTACTTCAAAGGCATTGATACTTAAATAGGTTACTGACAATAAGATCACTAGACAGACACTATTGGCACACTATTTATGGAAGGGAAACTGAAATCAGATATGAAAACTCCCCATTAACTTCACATACAGAAGAATTACTGTCCATTTTAAAGACCCCTTCTTCCATTACCCTACATTCCTTCCCCAGAACCATTTGGCCATTATCTTAAAACCACATTCCCCACCATGAAATCCAGGTTGAAACTTGCTGACTGAAAGCTGCTAATTCTGTAACAAAATGTATGAACACACAAAATATATTAAGAATTTATTTTTAAGAAGCTTAACCAGGAATTTTTTGGTGTAGAGACATGAGACTTTCATTATAAAAGCCATATTACTAAAAAATGGCCCATTTAATGTAATGTGTCTTTACCCTTTTCATAAATAATAATATCAATAAACCTATACAGATGCCTCTACACTCCATATTTTGACAAATTCCTTTGTGTGTTACATATACATTTATGTGCATTTTAGGTATGTAATTTTAAAAGTGGTTTAGTGACAAAGAACCTTAATTTTTCCTAAGGATCAAATGTGGTTTTGTTTACATAAATTTCTAAGTTATCTTACAAAGTAAACTTCCATGGTGAGACTGATATATCCACTTTTATAAAATGCTATTTAAAGGGTTTGAGACACCATCCAGTTGGTTTGATCCTAGAATAAAGGAAGCCAACAGCCTTACTGAACCCATTTTACTATTAGTGAACATTTTGAAAACAACCTTGGGGATTTTTATGAGTCAATATCATAATTTATAATGCACAATAAAGAATATTAGATCTTAGAGGGGAAGACAAGGATATGTTATATAAAGAAATTTTAAAAAGAGATTAATCCTAAAAATTATACTTACTTCAACTTTCAACATAGTCTCCCCCTCTTCCTTCTAGTTCTTGCAAGGGTTGAGTACCTAGGTGGTTGGAGGGTTATCAACAAAGGAGCTCAAAAATAGTACCTTTCCTTATCTTACTAGAATTAGTCTCTCAAAACACTGCTACGTTC